ATATAAATACTGTCCAGGATTCTACTGAAAAATACCTTTCCGATGGTATACTTGAGTGACTCCAGGGCGAGGAGTCACTAAAGTAGACAATTACCAATTTTAGGACAATTTCCTTAAAGATACCTCATTCATTGACTTTGCAAGTTCGGGAGAGCGACACGGGCGCTGGGGAGAATCTTCTTGCATTGCCAATTCACAGCCACCGCAGGGAAGGCCAGAGTTTCACTTCACTTTCACTGGGCATTTCATTTTTTTTTCAGGACTTCATTCCACCTCATGATGTCAGCACCATTGTGCCCAGTGAACAGGCGGATCTAACTCGCCCACCTCCGCCTCCACCTCCCCGCCCACCAGCACCGTTTTATATAATCGTTAACAACTCCTCCCAGGCTGAATCATTCTAGACATTTGTAATCTTTTTAAGTCTTTTTCGTTGTACTGTTTTATATTATTACTTCAATGTATACTGCTCATTGTATCTGCATACTGTTCGTAAACATTTTAATACATTGAATACAGGTCTTGCATCATGCTTTGAATTTGTTTGATTTCATCTGGATAAGACTTTTTAGCAATCTACCGAAATAAAATATACTAAAAATGTTAAAATTGCTGAGCTGTGACAACTCTGTTAGTTTGAATCTCCTACAGGGTAATAATTTTCTTTTAGAATGACTGTCAAAATGGCTGGGTGACTAAATTTGACATAAAATTCTGTTTAAAAAAGGTGCCACAGTCATCTCTTCACAGCAATGTATGTCATCATTCTGCGTTCAGACCATGTTTGACTGGTAAAGTAATTTTTATCTTTTTAATCCTGTGACCCTCGGGGTTCAATTTTTTTACTAGTTTGTTTATCTTGATATCAATGTATGTAATCATTCTGCGTTCAGACCATGTGTGACTGCTAAAGTAATTTTCAGCTTTTCAATCATGTAGCCATTTTCTATTATTTTTTACTAGTGTTGTGTACCTCCTTTTTTCGATCTAAAAAAGAGTGTTACGAGTACTCAATGCTGCTTTACACGTTTTTTTATTGTTGTGGAAAATTTTAGTAAAGAATGTTTCAAGCAATGTTTTGCTGTGTTACACTTATTTATATTATTAAAAATGCTGGATGCCTTTGTGTTCTCATTCTCAATTCAGAATATTGTAAGGAATTCAATTAATTAACTAGTTACTTCTTAACTGACTGCTTCTCAAAATTTTCCATCAAAATAAAATACAATTGAGATAAGAACCTTTTTTTTGCTTCATTGCTTTGGGATTCAATCATCACTGTGATGTCAAAAGAAGGAAGTTTTCTTCTAGTTTGCATTTTCTGTGGCTGTCATTCTTATGGTTTCACAAAGCATTCTAGTGTTAAGATGTCGGTATTCACATGTAGTTTCTTGATCTGCAACAATATCTGCACTTTTCTTTCACCATTCTCTGTCCAAAGACCAAATTATAACTCACGCTGGCATTTACGAGCCTCTGAATGAACATTCAGAAATTACTCGCAAAAAAATCAAACTTCCTTCCTATAAACCAGACTAGTGGCTGTACTTCATCATCATGTTCTTCTGAACCATTTAAATACAGTGAGACTGATTGAAATCACACTACTCAGTTCTTCAGGTTCACCTCCGTTACCCACCTTGTGAATCCTAGTCTGTGAAATCATATTTTGCTTATGGCTCTAAATCTGTAGTTCTCCTTCCCCATCGTTGAAACTGTAGTGTTTAAAGAGGTGGACTGAACAATTTGGAGTGGAAAATAAGCTTTTTCAAGATGAAAAAACCTTTTTTAATTATTTTTTTCCTCTCAAATATAGTTTATTTTGATGGAATTTTTGGGGAAACACTTGGGTAGGTAGTAACTAGTTGGCCTATTAAATTCCTTAGAATATTCAGAGTTAAAAAAAGACAACACGAAGGGATTCAGCAACAAAACAGCTCTCAAAAGTTGAGAGATTCAGCACAATACACTTGTTTAGAAATACACATAGTTCGATGTGGAAAAAGCTACCTGGACCAAAAAAAACATATAAATGAATATTGACTTCAGGAGTCCATAGTTTTAATCAGGGTTTAAAATAAAAGCAACTCAATCAGTCAGCTTTATCAGCGCCTAGGAAATGAATGAAGGGATCAGCTGTGGTTAAAACTCAATGGATTATCTTTTATTGAAAGTGGCAGTATCAGTGGCAGTATAGTACGAAAGTGGCAGTATAATTTGACACTAATACTAGTGTCTAGACATAATTGTACTACATGATAGAATTCTAAAGAGAAACGGTAAAATCAAAGAATTCTAAAGAGTAAAAGATGATAACATCACACTTAAAAAGAGTGCCTTCAAATAAACACAAATAAAAGTATTTAAAACAAAAAGTAAAAACAAGAGTACAGTATAAGCTTATGGTACTTTAAACGTCAAAGTACTTCCAAGAGAATAAACGTGTGACTGCGGTGGAATTATGATGGCAGAGTAATGTCAAGAGATGGATTCAATCCATGTCTCCGGCTGCAAATAGGATTGGGTATTTCATTCCATTGTTATCCTTCATATAAAGTGTTTTATATCTTTTTGCTTTTTTGGTCGGAGAGTCTTTGATGATAAGCTTGCTCATGGGGGGTAATTCTTTGTCTGAAAGATTGAAGACGTCATTGGTTTTGATGAAGTCCTGCAGAAGAGTCTTTTCATTGAATCCACACTCAGCTCTCATCGACCACTCGTTTGGGTCGTGTGTGATTCCATACTCCCTGCCAATTTTTGAGACAGTCAAAGGTGACACATCAGTAGAGTCTTCGTCTTCTTCTTCCTCGATGAGAACAACAGTTATGGTGCAGACTCTTGCCTTCAAGGAATTCCCAACCGGCACAGGCTTTTCTGACGATTCATCACCCACAAGCAAATTATCAGGCTCATTCATGACTTCAACTGGTTCTGGGTCACTGACTTGTGGGTTTTTCTCTTGTTGTCTGTCCGCAAACTTTTCCAAAACTTGTTCATAGATTGACTGAATTACATCTTTCGTCAATGCTGGTTCCAGCTTGCGTTTAGGGCAAGGGGTCGACGAAGCATTTGGTTCAAACTGTTCACTCTTTTCCTTCTTCATAGTGCATTTAAGAGTTGGCTTGTCGTAAGGTCCAGAACGCACTGTCTTTGTGACACCTGCCTTGCCCACTGGACGAGCTGTCTGCACTGCCTCAGCGTCATCAAAAGCCATGAGCTTGCCACGTAGTACGGATTCATTTTCATCTAATAGTTGTCGGCAGATTAAATGATAATGAAACCATTATTTTTACCTTACAACATAAAAACACATATGATTCATTTATTAGAAATGATGGATAAACTCACGCTAGTTAGAGTCTCTGTCGTCTTGACATACGTGAATAATCTCTGTCGTAATTAAAATAGATGCAAGATTTGACCTCCTGACGGAATTTGTGGCTGATAAATGATTGAATAGCACTTTTCGATCGTCCTGGAAGTTTCTGGAAAGCAGATGGGTAAGGAACGATGCAGCGATCACGAATTGAAAATTACATCAGGTGTGTATAACAGAATAAAATAAAAAGAATCGTACCACAGCCATTTCTTCCAACACATCAATACCAGTAAGAGCAGGTGGGCATTTCTTCACCACATGCAAGAAGAGTTTGTTAATTTCGTCAAAAGTCCATGGCACAGGTGCTGCGCGGCCACTCCTCCGTCCACATGGTTTGCCAGTGCTCCTTCTAGAGACTTTCAATGGAGCCATCGTATTCCGAAGTTCCATGTCGTCTTCGGATTCACTCTCTTCGATGTTTTGGGATGGCACCATTCTCTTATCTTTGTCTCATCAGCATCCTGCAAATTTCATATTTATTCTCAATTTCCGAAGTAACATTCAATAAGGTATTGTAATGATCGGGGTGAGTTCTCTCATGAGAGGTCCAGTTGAAGTCGACGAGGATGGGGTAGAATTTGGGACAAAATGGACACATTTTTACGAATGCATTTTCAATATTAATAGGTCTTTCAGCCGTTGTGCAGCAAAACACCACACTACGGTTTACATTCAAGAGCGTATACTCTGATTTGAACGATTTTCACTAACCCCCAGTAAACACGAAACAATCACGAGGCACTTTGACGTAAAATGAATGAAAATGAGGGACACCTAACCTGATCAGGTCACATGAACACATGGACTCTACCCGAACATTTCAAGAGAGATTTCATCCCGAAACACCACAAGCATAAAAAGATTAATTGAATATAGCACGAGTGATAACTGAATTAAAACAAATAACTCTGTGTTGAGTGATGCATGAATCGGGTTCTGTCATTCCCTCCCCGTAACCTATCTGCAGTGGCCAAAAAGCTTATAAAAAATTAAAATCATTATCAAATGACTAGCTTTGGCTGGTTGTGAACTGTGCTTCACATAAAACAAAATATAACTACAACGCGAAATGTTGGGATACTTTTTTTAACCCCTTAACAGGCAGCCGCTTACAGTGTTTTCACGTAAACTTTTAAACTTTCAAAGAACATTAAAAACCGCAACACCTACCATTGCTTTGTTAGGCTGAGAATCTTCTATTAACAGGAAAGACTTGGTTGTGATCTTTTAACGCTCTCAATACTTTTGGATTACTTTCTTACAATGCACTTTCCCAACCGGTCTTCATTTGTTGTGGCCTAGGCAGGCTACAGTACAGTCCTAAAGTGCTACAGCAGTTAAGGGCGCGGGTTTCCGACTTGCTGGGTGATGTGTTTCCACCACTAGGGGCGCTACTGTCGGCCATGTTGACTCGAAAATTCTGTATCCGGTGTCAGTTGATGTCCGTTGTTGTTCAGTAAACCAGGTGGCTTCCGATTTACTCTCCAATACTTTATTCAAAATATCCAACCTACAATAATCCATGAAGAAATATCCAGCTCCAAAAGATTCACCAAGAATACATTACTGAGGGCGTAGAGTGCAAAGGCTGGATAACAGTTCTGCCAACGTTAGTATGTCATCATACGCTCTGCTAATTTTGACGGGGATTCGTAAATATAGTAGGTTTAAGGGATGGTAAAACTCCAATCAGTTTAATGTGTAAATTTTTTTTTAGTTTGGAACAGTATTGCAGGTAGTTCCGAAATAAGTCAATGTGCTACTAAATTTATCATTGTTTCCGTCGGGCAGTTTATCAGTTGCCTATGCACCTACACCTAAGCATTTCCCGTTGATTTACCTTTGACTACTTTCACTACATAATCTGTAGGTAAAAAAAACAGAGGAAAATGTTGCCCGCGTCATGGAAAAGGTGGCGTGCATCATTGCACCGTCGTATTACGGCGCTACGTCAAGATACCCACTTAAAGAAAGATTTGCACACCTTGGATGAAATTGTTGTTCAATAGGGTGTTCCAGGCTATCTAAAACGGAAGTGAAAAAGAACAAACTCACTGATTTATCTGTTTCCGTCCGCCCAGTATGAGAAACTACCATGACAGTTTGGTACGTTCCTAACCTCTCAAATATGGAGGGGAGCTCGAAACTGAACTGACAGTTTCTCATACCTAAAAGGCCTCGGAGGCACGTGATGAGCTCGACCAATCAGAGCCATTACGGAAAGAGAGAGGTCAGTGAGTTTGTTCTTTTCCTACTTCCGTTTTAGATTGCCTGGAACACCCTATTCTCCTATAACACTGAGAGATACCTACGTTGCACTCACCCAGCAGGTAAGACAAACTTTACAGTGACACCTCAAAAGAACAGAACCAAAGACGTACCTTTAAAAATGTTTGGTGTTTACTTGAATTAAGTCTCATTGACCAACGTTAACCTCAAGTCGAAATTACGGTCAGAACTGTTATTTGGAAAGTAACGTTTGATGTGTGCTTTAATTTACTGAGCCATTTCTGTTTTTTCCTCTTTTTTAGGATTTATGACCGAAGCTGCCCTTCTGCAATTTCGTGATGGCATGACGAGTGCATTGCAGAGGATACAACAGGCAGCATCTTCTAGTGCATGTAGAAGACTTGGAATGATTTTACAATGCATGGTGGCCCTGAAGGTTTGCCAACTCATTGCTGCAACAAGTTGTTAATTAGAAGACTTCAGGAACTATGTTTATACGTGTTTGAATGTCTAATAAAACACATTTTGCCTTATATAAGATACACTATACAGTAAATTTGAAACTTCTATGATTCCTTTTGCTTTAAGTGTACTTCACGTCGAATTCCCAGGAGTTTCCCAGGAACCTCCACACGTCGGAATAGTGTCCTCGGAACCTACGATTAAAAGTTGAAAGTGACAGCAAACCCCAAGTACATAAAAGAAACAATGTGCAATAACCCAACACTCATGGCAACATTTCATTTTTGAAAACCTTCAAAGTATATTGCTGTATTGCATTCAAAAAGAAAATATTTGAAGTAGGTCAATAGTTGTAAACACAATGGAATCTTGTTTGAAGAGCCTCAATGTCATACTTTTAGGACTGGACTCCTGAACTTTGACGGAGTAGAGTGGAGTTGAAGTAAAAACTTGGAGAGAGTTAAACATAGTCACGTAATAAAAAGAAAGTAGCCTGCAAACATCAATACGACAGTAAGTTCTGAACCTGCTGTACAAGTCATATATTGTGACTGAAGACATACTCCATCACCGTAAGATGTATATGTTCAAATAACTGTGACCGGAAGAATAGATTGTCTGCACCAGCCCGTAACCCTCATTTGATGGCGGCCATCTTGTTTAACCAGAATATGCAGGCTCGATTTCTTAAAAAAATGGAAGAAGTAGCCACATGCTTGAATTTTTTGTACATGTGATAAATAATTGTAGCCATTTCTCCAAAAAAATCTGAGGTATGGGTCAGCTCTATAATGTTTTTTTTTTAAAAATCGGAAACTGATTTCTCCTATGAGAGCCGGATAGCAGGCAACATGTGAGGGCTATAATAATAATTGGAACAAGAACAGTTTTGTTTCGGAAATATGAACTGATTGTTTTGTGGGGCGAAACCACCAGGGGAATGTTATGGTAATAAATTCTACTTGGAATCTAAAATACTGTGCATATATACTTACTGTCCGTTCAGGCAGAATAGCACGACCGCTAGGAAGGAATTGGCAAGCCTGGCAGTCGCTTTTCGAGGATCTTGAGGGCGCTGCTTTAACCCTTGTGGTATTGTTTGTAGTAAATTGTAGTCGAGGTCAAATCGAAAACTTTACCGAAGTAAATATTTTTTGAAAAGATGAGGAACTCTGAGGTGTCTTCTGATTCTTCTGATGACGAAATCGATATTTTCAAGGACCGGAGTAGGCTTAAAGGTAAGTTGAGGCCCAATTCTGATATCCTGTGTACTGTACCATTTGAGAATGTCTTGCCTTCGAGGGACCGACCATAACCAAATATATCCTGATCTTGAAGGTAAAAGTACTACAGAGAGCCTTCGGGTAGCTGTGCTTAAAAAGGACATGGCATCAGCAGGTACTATTAAACAGAATTAGCAATTGCATAAATTATAAAATTGAAATATTGGAGTGTTAAAAATTCTGTGTTCCTCTGCCTAGCAGTGGCCACTTCGGAGGAGACGAAAGGCGATCTTACTTTGTTGGTGGAAACCATCGAAGAACTTAATGAAGGAATTGGCGTAGGTGACACACATGCAGGTAATTCCAACGTTAGTATGTCATCATACGCTCTGCTAATTTTGACGGGGATTCATAAATATAGTACGTTTAAGGGATGGTAAAACTCCAATCAGTTTAATGTGTAAA